GTCAGAAACATTGCTCCACAAACGAAGGAGGTATTCGTATTCGGTATTCAAGTACTAGCTAAAGTTGATGCAATGCATTGTTAGTGGGCATGCTGTGTTCCCGGGATGTCCTCGATCTGTTTGCCAATTTGAAGGTCGGATCGGATCCGACCTTTACCTTGGCATACGATAAACTGATTATGTATTGGCATTTCCTCCAATACTCACGTAATGCTAGTTATCTGAAATGTTTCTATATTTTACTCAAATTAGATTTTTTTTTGTTGGACCAAGGAGGTATTAAATATTTAATACCTCTTTGGTTGGACCAATTCAAATAGATTACTTAGTACAGGATACAAGCCGATAAAACATGACAAATTATATAATAACTGATAATATACAGTAGTGCTAAATTTCAAATTCTCAATATGTACTGTAAATTGGTAATTTGGCTTACTGATTAGACTTTGGCTTTACAGATTATTTAAATTCAGGCGACACCTACAGTCTCTAAGTTGAAAAAAATGACAGAAACCTTTTCCCCCAGGATTTGTTTTTCTCCCAGGGCCCACTGGCGGGACCACTGCGTGGGGACCGGTAGGTACATCAGTAGCGGACCCAAGGGGATGGGGAAAGAGGCGCTCTCCCCCTTCTCATATTTTTATTACTTTAAAAAATACATATACTTTTACCTATAAAATATATTAATAATTTTTGCACTTCAATGTCATTCGAATGTTTCACCATACACGTGTTTTGTAGTGCACTATTAGCCTATGCATTTTAAACTCCTGTTAGGAATTATTTGAAAACTTTTTTTAAATCTTTGATTTTAGCAAAATTTGCTCACCTTTGTCCCAACCTAGTCGCCTGCTAGGGGAAGTGGCTCTATAGGTTGCCAGATGCTATTTCCAGGCATCTAGGGTTGTTGTTATTTTATTTTATTTTTTATTTTTTGGCACAATATTTTTAAGGGTTGGGGCTTAGTGGAACCGTTCATTATCTCCTCGGTAGTATGGGAGGTCGGAGCTGTTGGCTCAGTATCCTTTTTATATTCATTTGTAAACATAATATTTACATCAAAATAGTGTAAGGGTCTGATTAACAATTCAGCTATCGGCCAAAAAAAACCCCAAAAAACAATTAAATAAGCCTGTCAGATAAAATGTCTTATAAACATATTTAGAATAAGTGTATAAAGTTTAATTAAGATAAGAATATGTATACCTAAATGAAATAAATAAATAAATAATAATAATCTACAATTATACACCCGAATCAAGGGGCTGACTAGAGCCTCTGTCAGGGTCCCGGCATAAAAAATATCAATGTGTTCGTGTTGGGAGTTTTTTATGGGTTTTTTTATTCCACAATATTAGAAATTGACAATCAAAATAACGTTACATGGATATGAAAATTATCATTTTTGGTCCGGACGATTTCGTCAAACAAACGCCCAGAGGCGTTTATTGTTGAGAATGGTTTTTGAGGGGGAGTATATTCGTGAGAGGTGTTTATTCGAGGCAGGCATTTATTTTTTGTGTAAATAGATACAGATAGATTTGGACAAACTAGTTGGATACCGTTTCGGCCCCAGGGCTAGACCAATTCGAGGATGGACGCTAATAAGGGATGGGGGCTGAACTAATAATTTGTAGGTTTAGCCTGGTAGGGCACTATTCTCCTTGGAAGCAATTTTCCTTCAGATACCCTTTGTGCACCTGTCTCATAACATCCAAATTTCGGTTAAAGCAAGCGTGTATGTGAAATACCGGAACTGTGTCGTAGACACGTCGTAGCAAAAACATCTAAAATATTGAATTTTGGAATGGTGTTTCTTCTAAGTAAGAAAATATACATATAGGTAAGTAGAGAGTGTACTATACTGTAGTTGTACAAGCCTGTATGCCTTCATGGTGTTAGATTAAATTGCTGTTTAGTTGTGTTGTTATTCAGGCCTACATTTTCAGACTGGAGACTGTGCTCTAAAATTGATTGGAGTCTTTTTAATACAATGGCATTAAACCGGAATATCTGAGTGAAAAAATAAACAACAGTCAAAAACAGAGCTAAAGATTTGTTGTTGTGTAATGACATACCGCGGGTTAGGCACCTACATTCAACAATGTAAATCTAAGTACTCTTTAAAAGTAGGCCAAGTGAAATCATTTTAATTATTTAATAAAGTGTAATATTATTTATATAGTGACTAAAAAAAGATACGTGAGTCATAAAATGCGTTTTAATTTAAATACAGTAGGCATATTATAACAATCGCTAAATATATAAATTCATAATCTTAATGCCGTTAATGTTCTCAAAATCACTGTCTGTAGATACATTCTATAATTTTTCTATCTAAATCATTTTAATTAATTTAATAAATTGTAATATTATTTATATATTGACTAAAAAACGATCCATGGGTCATAAAACTTGCTTTGATTTAAATTTAAAAAATTTAAATTAAAAATAAAATCTAGGTTTATTTATACAATTTAATATATTTCCTGCATTGTATTCGTTTTTCGATATGTAAGCATTGTTGTTTTTTCTAAATATTCTATACCAAATGGTAAGCAACAGCTAAAAAGTAAACGTAAGTAAACAGCCAGAAATAGAACCAGAGCTTTCAGACAACACTAGTCCTTCCTCAGTGGCGAGTGAGTGAGGGTTGAAAAAGCCAGATAGTATAAAGTGAGAATTTCATGCAAGCATGATTAGAAACAATTGGCAAGGTGGGATTAGAATAAACAGCCTAAACAAGTAAACAGGAAGGCCAAAACTAAACTTTAGAGGCATGCCTCAATGAATAAGCCAAATGATTTATCCAGAATAAATTAGAATGCCAAAGGTTTAATTTAGTGTACTGGGAGAACGTTCCTAATATTGAGTCCAAATGGTGTGGTGGTTTTAAGTAAAAGTTCCCAGTGATTCTCTTTATCTTTGCGATTATTGTCGCTCCATTTGGCATTGTGGTCAATTGCAATCACTCTGTAACTATATTACAAAAAAGTTTGTGTGCATTATATTTTTTTGTTGTGTTACAGTATGGCGATTCTCCATTTCACGAATTGTTGCAAAGTGACCATGAATACCAAGTTCACCAGGACGGAACCCAATCCTTGTTACATTATGCTGCCTATTGAACAGGTTAATAATTTGCCTATGTAGCCTCTGTCTATTATACACATCT